ATGTCTGTAATGCGGGAAACGAACTGGATTTTTAAAATATTTTCCAAACATAGTAGTATTGATCGAAGATCGGTCACACGACTGCATAGTCAAATATCATTAATTATCAAGTATTAATATTCTACTTGACCGAAATCCATACTGAACTACAGCATACCCGGGGAAAAAAAAGACTATTACTTAGTATACGCTGTTATGTATCATTACACTCTTACCGAAATGTTTTCGTTTTTTTTTTTTGTTAACATTACCAACAAAAAAGTACAATCGATACAATTTTTAACGAGCGAACGACAACAGGTGGCTAGAGCGATCAGCATAATACCTACGTACGTGTTATAATTATATTCGACTATTTAATAATACAATGTGTACCTACATATGACTGCAAAGATATTATTTAAATAGCGTTTAAATAAAAAAAAAAACAAATTTAAAAACAACGTGAGCTGCGTCAATTTCCCCCTTTTGTAATATATAGAAACATTCTTTGTACAAAAATGAATAACCAAATACTATATATAATATGGCCGTATATTAAATTATAGTATGTACCTCGGCTAGATATACTATATTTTTGAAAATAGTGAAATTTGAGCACATAACAACGGTAGGGACGACGGTTGAAAGTTGAAACCCCCGAAAGGCACACTATTAGTTCTAACGCCGTACGTGCAATATAAAATGTCATCCTTCCGACTTCATTAAGGTACTCTGTAAGGCTGTTCCAAACCTATAAAATACTCTCCTTTTACGCAAAAAAAGGTGAAAATAATATCGAAATTCAACCCGATATAAGTCACTGTAAACCGCATACAAAACCCGAGTTTGAGCGCATTTGGCTCAGAGGGAGCCGTTAGAAGTTAACAAATATAGCGGGAAAAAGATATTTATTATATTATATAACCCTGTTATACGGACTGTATAATCCTATATATTATCGGGAAAAATGTATCAAAACTGAAAAATTAAAAAAAAAACACATGCACACGAAACCAAAAGCGATTATTATTTATTTATTTTACATGCTTTTCAAAAATGACAATAGCCGTTCGTTTAAATCGCTGCCAGTTTCATACTCAAGAAGGACGATGTATGTTTGGACATCATCTCCAAAGAAATCTGGAACCAAGGTAATAGACCAAAGCATTTTTATTTCGTTTTCAATGACTATTGATACAATGTTACATTCAACAAACAAAATAAAAAATATCAAGTGTAAAACCCTAGGTCTCACGTTGTTCGTTTATCATTAATAAAAAATGTTAAATTTTAATATAATTGCATTTACTTATATAGCTAGATTTTTGTTCTAGACATTTTGAACGAATATTTATATCGCTCCTCCTTTCCCCCGAAAAGAGGTCCTATTGGTATGCTACTGATCACATATAATATATATATATATGGTTGTATATGTACGAAATGTGGAAACATAGTCGTATAACTATGTTTACCCATGTATATACCTAAGTATAATTTCGAATTCGATCTCTCACATAATCGTTCCCTTCTCGTAATGTTATAATTAAATCGAGTGTACATTATATTTCATTGCGTGTGTTATATTTCATAGTATACATATAGGTATACGATTATATTATATTCCACAACTACGGTTCCGAAGACTGGAGCGTCAGCCCCGACCGCTATATGTGTTTTTGGTAGCGTGCCAAGGGTGTATGTTTATATTATTCAGCAATTCAAAATTGCTTACAGCCCGCGTTGAAACCCTATTTTTGCGTTCCTTTTTAATCGCCACCCGCCGCCATAAACAAGATGAGGCGACAAATTAAAAACCCTTACCAGTCCTGCACTGCATACGTATATACGGTCCTGAATGAACACGACGTATGTAGCTACTCCGGCGCCAAAAGTCCCCTTGGCCGTGTAGGAAGTCGGTGAGTAGTGCCGGCGAAGGGGAGGCGAGAGAAGGATCGAGAAACACGTGCGTGACGATGACTGCCAGAGAACTGGCAGCAGATTTGTGAAGTATTTTAGTATAAGTATTCGAATATGTATGATAAAGACTCTTATAAAAAAAAAAAAATCATGAACAACACAGCTCCATCAGTAGTGTCTAATTTTCTCCAGCAAATATGGTTGCTAGAGTTTTATTACGTTTTTTTACAAATGTGTTTCTTTTTCTTTTTATACATATTAACATCTATGAACTACATCTGTCCCCTCCTCCTACCATACATCACAGCCTATTACCCTCCTCTCTTTTAGGTATGAAAACTAAAGTGTCCTAAAATTACCTTTCAGATACGATAAGGAATTTAATGAAAACAATTTCATCGAAATAAGTAATGTAGTTCTCGGAATGTTTTCTAACGTACAAATAGACGGTAGTTGGAAGTTCAGACCTTTTTAAGACACATTTGGCTTTATTTGGAGGCTCTGTAGGAGTGTACAAAGCTAAAAATATACCTTCCTTGTTCAACAACATAGTAAAATTCATATCAATATTCAACCAATTTTTTATCACTTCAATCTGCCAAAAAAAAAATCACTAATTTCCGAGTTAAGTCTATTTTCGGTGAAAATTAAAAAATAACGAAGAGGTAGGCACAGGCTATGAAAAATAGAGATAAATGTGTGATGCAACCATATATGAAACTAAAGAGCGAATAAATGGTACATTAATTATAAATTATCAAACTTTACTAATCGTATTATTTTTTATTATTATAATTATTGGACTATGGATTTTAAGTTTATGAAAAAAAATGTAATTCCTATGTACGTAGACTATTATCTATACCAGTGGTTTTCAAACTGAATGCCGCTGTCTTTTGCAACTGTTTCCATAAAATATAACGGACTACTGGTCACGGTGATCCGCACGTTATACACTTATTAAGTCATAACTATTTTAATTATGATTCGTTTGAATATAGCCCATCAATTTTGTCTTGATTTTAATTTTGTGCGAAAATTTCAACAATGACCAGAAAAAAATCACAGTGTGCCGTGAAAATGTTGAAAGCAAAGTGTGTCGTGGTCAAAGTAGATTTTAAAATTACAAATCTATACACTAACGAAAATAATTTGATTATGTTCGATTTTTAATTAGGATAGATTTTTTCAAATTTCAATTGAGAATATAAAAAAAGCTGAAAACTGGGAACGAGTGTGCTACTGTTGTTGGTGGTAAGTTGGAAAAGTAAGGTATATAAAGTTATTTAATTTATATATGTACGAGAAATAGCAACGATAAACCATTTGCTAATGAAACAAGCGATTTGGACCGAAGTTCGATTATACATATTTTTAAAGGCTACAATATTTACGCTTTTCTATAAGTACTTAATATTTCGGAACAAGTTTTATTTTTGAAAAGTTGTTTACAAGCAGAAAATTTGTTTTTAAAAAATCACAGAAAAAACAATAGATTCTTTGCTACGCTCCGAATCTATAAAAATAAAAACCGGTGTTTTCTTGTTACGGTCAAAATCAAAAAATACGACTAGTTGCGATAACCCAACAAAAAAGCCACCTATATACTAATAATCACGATCACTCAATTATTAGGCCTGTATACTAAATGCGGAACAATATAACTTTTTATTACTATTATTAATATTATGTTCAATTTATATTATTTAATTCACGGCAATATTTATTAGTCACCGATTTCCTTCCCGTTAATATGGCAAAACCAATCGATTATTAGGACCGCGTCTGTGCATTTATTTATTGTGTATGGTGAGCGTATGGCTAAAAAAGTTGGTTTGTTTGCTTTTTTTTGAAAAATTATTTATTATTATAAATTGATCATAACTCGGATTTACACGCTATAAATGATGGGACGACCGAAACTCGCCTACCCGCACTTTTCTCTGAAAATAAACGCAATTTTTATCGGTAATCAGAACATATTATAATACTCGTTATTTTATCCGGCCTACCCGAAAAAACATGTTTAGATACAGCACCTCTAAAAATCCGTGCGCGCATACCTACTGCGTTTAGATACGCACAAATACGACGGGAACGACCGTATCCGGTTTACGAACGGTATACCTGCTCGGAGGACCTAATATTTTTTCGTGGGGAGCGGTCGATTCGTCGGCCGTATGGAACTGGTCGTTTTGTAATATAATTCTATTGTCGTCGGAATAATGAAATAAGTTTGTTACAGTAGAGGTAGTTTGTCCGTTTGTATTTCTTAAAAATTACAAAAAATGAATGCGTGTAAAAATAGTGTTTATAAATTACGAGCCGTCCCCGACATAAATTCGTCGAGTTTTCTTTTCTTTTTTCTTTTTTTTTTATCGAATTTACTAATATTTCAGACGACCGATTTACCAAACAATACCAATATCACTACATCCGAATGACGTAGTAAGTGTTTGCGCTCAACTTAAAGAATAGCTACCGGGTTTATCTAGCCTTAAACGGGATTTCTCGTGGTATTCGGCCCGGTGCGAGAACATCGCGCACAAATGTTATTGTTATTGTTGTTGTTGTGGCGCGTACAGTATTTGTACGATCTCCGAAATCAGACGACCGCGCGCTCGCGTTCGCGTGCCTGCCGCCCGACGAGTATAATAATAATTATTAGGTGGGTACCTACAGGCCGACCAATGGGCCGCCGTCGTCGTCGAGTCCTCCCCTCCCATCACCGACACCGTAACCCCACCTAGAGAATTTCTCGGTTGCGGCATGACGGCAGCCAACCCTTGTGCCCGACGCTCGGCGGTGCCGACGACGACGACGACGACGGCGACAACGGCGGCGGCAAACACGTTAACGACGAGCCGATGACTTCGACGTCCAGCGATCATTCCGCGCATTCACCGTGACTCGAACGCACTTAGCTTGGTCGCTTCCTCCTCGCAATTCCCCGTCCATTCCCGGAGTCGTACCGCGCACGTTTCAACTTCTTGGCGCTTCTGCGTCGAATACGGACGTTTATATTTCCTGACGCTTTCGTCGAACCGTGGACCGTTACATTTTTCTAACGCTTTCCTACTTCTTACACGCGCGTAAACATGGAATTTTTCCGCAAAATTGAAAAGAGACGTTTCAACGCCGAAGAATCGTACACCGAAGATCAATTAGATCACCCGCACGGCCGTAATCGCTGCGGCGATCCGAATTACGTCGCAAGTTGTAGAGATTGCAACGTCGTGTTCCCCGAGGTAAGTACCTATGTATATAGGGAGTTAAATAATATGTTTTATGCGTCATTTAAAGGAAATTGATTTCGACCCGGCGCGCGTAAAAATCCCAGATCCGCCGCGATCGTATTGGTTGGATACTAATTGTTTACATTTTTTTTTTTTTCAACTTACCCACACATTCAATGGCGGATCCGGGGGGGTACAGGGGCACGTGCGCCCCCTGTCAACGTACCACGGTTTCTGTTTATATATTTCATATTAATTTGATATACACAATTTATAGTTAATTCACCGAAAATATAAATAATGTGCCCCGTCCCCCTTAAAAAAATATGTCTGGATCCACCGCCGTACGTATTGTACGCGCTTTACACAAATTATTGTTATTCGTTGTTAAACATCGTTTACGCCGCCGAAACGTACTGTTCGCCAAACTATCCCCGGGACTAGAAGTCCTGCAGGACTCACTGAAAATACCACTCGTCCGCTTCGTATTAGTACTCGTATATCGATACGAGTACAGCACTGTAATAAATACGTATAGATATAATTCAAAGTCACTCGCGCGAATAGCGGGACAATAATATTGTATAATAATGCCGATTGCAATAAAACATAGTAGGACTCGAGTCACTGTGCGACTTGTGTAATTAAAACTATAATCGTGTTTACTAGGTTTTGGTGTGTTACACGGATCAACATTTGTCGCTAAAATACTCCAGTGTTATAGCGGTGATCGCGGTAGCCGGCGAAATGGCGGGTTTCGGGGTAATTCTCGCCCCGTGGGCCTTCGTCAACTTCGGTAAGTACGGTTGTACGGTTGCGAATTTATTCTATAATGCCTATGGTTATTATTGGCTACAATAAAAATATAAGCAACGAGATGGTAAAATTTGAATTCGCACACTATTATTATAAAAAGTTTTTTTTTTTTTTTATTAACATTATTATTATTGCCCGTATATACGCGTAAAATGCCGAAATTTAAAAAAAATCGTCATCATTACAGGCCTATTGACGGGCACCGTAATGCTGATGTTGTTGGTGGCAGCTGCCACATATGGTTCCAGCTGTATGTCGTGGTCCTGGTTCATATGCGAACACCGTAACCCATCTGATTTTAATGGTTATCCGCATGTATTTCCGTGTCTGAAGCTCGCGTATAACATTGGTGGCAAACGCCTCAGGTACGTATCAACGATAGACAATAACAATAAGACTTATTGGGTGTACGAGTGTTCCGTAACCGGGCACTGATCTAGGAAAGCGAATCGTGCAGATTCCGTACGCCCACTTCCAAAAGACCTTTTTTTTTTTTCCTTTTGTTTAACGATAAATAAAAATTTTGAAATATAGATTTTTTTTTTTTTATTATTATTTTACCACTCGTAATTCCGTGCGGCATAGACTCTTCGTTCTCATCTTCTAAAATCTTATCCAACCTGATCACGTCACACGTCTACCTTAAAAATCTGGTTTCTGATACTTTTATTTGTATCTCATCGGTTTTATTCAACACCCCGCGTATTATAATATATTATAAAAGTACGCTAATATATACCGTTTTATCTCCGAATCTTCAAAAAACACGAATCAGTCGGTTTCAGATAGGATTTCGATTAGACGGTTAAATATTATATCTTTGTAAACATAAAGTTTCCGAACGCTATCATTTGTCGTTTTGTTTAAAACACAAACACTAAGTAATATTACAATAGCGCTCCCGTTTCTTCGTACACACCCGCATGACAATTCCTTTGACTGTGAGACTGCCCTCGTTTGTGTCAGCCGATCACTTAATATATTATATGTTTACAATGTCTCGGTTCATTTGATTCATAGTAACATAATGACACGTACGATATAGTAAGCGTATCGTATTCAATCGCAGTCCGCCCGTGTCCCAACAAACTGTCTGCTTACATACATGCCAGTATAACATGTTGAATATGTGAAATATTAATATCTATTAACTAGTTTGCAGGGGGGTTTTTTTTTTTTTTAGATTTTGAGTGGACCGAAGAAGCTTATGATTTTACAAAGATGTTTATTTTAGGTTCCGAGCGTAGCGAGAGAGCCGTTAGTTTTACAATGCTGTTTATTTTTTTTCTAATGTGCGAACACGGTTTTTCCTATTGAACTTGCTCCGATTTTATGTGTAGCAACTTTTCTGAAAGCTCATGTTATCTAGATTGTACTTCATAGAGGTCATTTTTTGATTTTTGACGGTATTATTTAAATAAAAGCACTTAAATTGGCAAAAAACGTAGAAAAACGTAAAATTTCACGATTTCATTATTTTATATAAACACGGACGTCCAGAAAAAACACAAAACGCCTTTTTTGTTGTCTTTTTGATTTATTTTTTTATGGTATTATTGCCAAAACTTTCGAGCCACTTTTGAGCTTTTAAGGAATTTTAAATTTTGAGAGTTTTTTGCTGTAATTCAGTTATGATTACACGTAGAAACTTAAATCTCGGAATCGATATTTTGTAAGCAATGGTTTATCGTTGCTCACAGATATACATTAAATTACCTATAACAGGGGATGCACCCGTTCTCATTATCCTAGGACGTATTTTTTTTTATCTATTTTCTTTGTTATGACGGGATGCACGTTTCTATATTATAATATATTGGGAATAACAAGCCTCAGTGGCGTATAGAAAATTTTTTCCAGTGGGGTATTCCCTTCTCCTTCCTTGAACTACCCGTTGACAAACCGTGAAAATGTTTTATGTGAAAAGTCGGTTTTGATTAAAACAAGGCATCTAAGAGATCAATGCCTTTGATGTGAACGACTATTTCACTAGACAGTAATCAACAAACGTATAGGAGATAATATCATATGTCGTGTGTTATTTACAGTAAAATATTTATGGGATTTGATTTTCTTGATAAAGAAATAAAAACGAATTCAAAATTCCGAAAATCAAATTGTGTTAAAAATGAATTTAAATTATTTATAATGGCGGACTTGCTTTTACCCAAATAATTAATCTTTCGGTTTTCACCTGAAGAAATATTATTCGCCGTAGAAAAAAAAATATTATAGCTACCGCTTTCCACGAGTGCGTATGATAAGTATGAAACAACGAAATGTATTCGGCTTAAACAGAAAACTCTAGATTCGAGATTATAAATGGCAGTGTGTGCAGTTGACAAAAGGCAACCCAAAATGTTTTGTTTTTTTTTTATTTTTTTTTTTTTTGTTAGCGATGAATAATATTTCTTTAGGCGAAAAGCAAACCATTCGTTTTTAAGTTTGGGTAAAAACCAAAAGGTTAATTTTGGGCAAAAACAAGTATTCGCCTTCATACATGGCCGGTTGTTAATTAATGACAATTAAGGACACAGAAATTTGGAGGGGGAGGGGGTAAGATAAAAACCACGTTATGTTTTATTACTAATTGGAATTTTATTATTTCAGAAACCATATTTTGCAGTGTATTTGTTTGGCGCTGTTTAGTGCGGCCACCGTGTGCTTGATGCTCATCGCGCAGAGCGCAGACAAGTTGATGCACGACGAGTGCAAAGGATTGACGTTGGAAAATTGGCTTTACTTATTCGCGATCATGTTAAGCGGAATGATGGTCATCGAGGACCCAAAGAGAACAAGGTACGTTCAAAATGTCACTGCTTTAATCGTATATACTAATAAATCAATCGTGTTTTCGACGCTGTAGATTTATGAGCGTGGGCCCGATGATTACGTCATCCGTGGCCTGTTTTTGCATGGCCATGCAAACGCTCTACGACATACGACAAAAGGAGGGGACCTACGTGCCCCAAGCTGCCCTAGTGGAAACGGTCCCCAGTAAAATGGCCACGGCGTTCGGGACATTGGTGTTCGTGACGGGCACAGCGGCCGTGCTCCCGGTCATACAAAACAACTTGACCAAACGCACAGAAAACGCGATCAGCCTGTTGCATTTCTTCTTCAGTGAGTGTCCGCCAACCTAACACCCGATTTTTACATAGTATTAAAATATCGGCATGATCACGACCGACCGTGAGCTATAAAAAAAAAAAAAAAACGTCTATAATAATAATACATACGTATAATAATATGCACGTTAATAATGTAATGTCCAAAATATTGCGATTTAATAATTTTTGTTTTGATTTTTATTCCAGTTATGTCGGTGATGTTCATGTTGGTCGTATTCGCCGCGTGCTTCGCTTACGGTACGGACATCCACCCGAACGTTTTGATGTCCATGGGCAATTCGGGGTGGGCCGACGTAGCGATCATCATGTCGATCTTCAACCTGTTATTAACGTTCGTGTCTTTCACGGGGCCGCTGGTTAAGTTTATTGAATTATTGATGGATGGCAAAGATTTGGGCGACCCTACGATTCTGATAAGTCCCACGAGTAAGGATAATAACATCATAACGTCACGGCGACGTGGATTTAACCGGCTATTATAGACATTCGTGTTTATATTAATACAATATTATATCGCAGCGTTCCTCACTCTGTATAATATGTATATAGTGTTTTTAAATCGCAGTAAATAATATTTCGCGAGAAAATTCTCGAAAACTGAAAACATTCGGCAGTTTTCATTATTCAAGTTAGACGCTCAAAATCGAAAGTCTAAGCGCTCACCGTTACGCGTTACTGTGGCCTTAAAAATTATACGCGTATTTTGATTACATCGAGTCATAAACTCATAACACTCATAAGGATAAATCGTAAATCATCGAGAATAACAAGAATAGGCATTTATGATATTGTATAAACAAAATGTACATTATCGGTAACTTAAAGAAAAACAGTTATATGGTTTATATTTCAATACCTATATTATTTAAGAATAAAATGTATTTTATAATGACTTGTAAAATCATATTTCGATTGAAAATAACAACATATAAACAATAATCATTTTATCACTTTCCGTTGATAAATAGAAAAAAAAATATTGTTTTCAACCCCTGTCCCCCAATATTAACCACTCAAATCGCTATATGCATGCACAAAAAGGCTGCTAAATTGCATTTCAATTGATCGCAACGTTATAACATACAATTATGCTGCAGTTAAAATTCAATATTAACAATTCGGCGTCGTGTAAAATATAGATAAAGGTACATAGGTAAGATTCATTTCATATTTTAGATTGCGAGTGTAGCAAAGAAACTATTAGTTTTAGTGGAAACACTTTTTCGGTTAACGACCCAATTTTTCACGACATAATATTATCTTAAAACATACGATAATACTTTATTTGAAACTCTTATCGAAATCTTCATCAGCTCATCCTTAGGTTTCTTTTTTTGTATTTCTCTTTCTGTTTTTCGATTTTTGTTGATTTCCGAGTTCCCTTGGTAAAAACACGACTAATTGTTTCGTATATAGTATACAAACTAAATTACCCTGTTCCCTGTAGTGCATGTCCTACCTCGCCTACTATTATTACTTTTTATTTGTATATGTTTATTGTGTATAATGTATGTATAAAAACTAAAAATTTAAAATCATTGTTTATCACACTTGCCTAGCTGTAATTTTTTTCGGTTAAATATAAACATATACAGTTATTATAATATAACCAAGACGCTGCTGAGGATATAATGAAATAAATTATAGTTATTAATCACCATTACATTCTATAATCCACGTGTTAGAATTATAACCAAGGTGTTTTTGTATTTTTTAGGACTGAACTTTCAACGGTATTTCATCTGCGTTAGTTTATTGGTCGCCATGGTACTGACAGGTAATTTAATAAACGATTTCAATAAACTCGTGGTTATGTTTGGCGGTACCAGTATGCTTTTTGGAGCGTTCATTATTCCGTGCGTATTCTACCATGCAACAGCCGAGAGAAAGGAAGTGTTCTATAAGGTGCCCCTCAGGTGTGCATAAAGTTTGAATTAATATAATTATTATACACCACTATAATAATATTAATATATAAATGGAGAACCGATGATGTACCTAGAATTGCGTATAGTTGTACTATTTTGCATGGAAACGGTTTCAGATTTCACTAATGTTACATGAATTTTCAGTTTAGATTCTGAGTACATCGAGGGATGTAGCTATCGGTTTTATCATGGTGCGTTTATTGTGTGTTTGTGAATTAGATACCTACTTTTCTACAAGAAATCATCCTCTGATTTTCAAATGTAGCAAATTTTACCTATAGTTGGAACACTTGTATGTCATTTTATGACGTCTCATACAATTTTCTTAATAATTGAGAAAACTGGAAAATCTCGTGTAGGCATAACGAACAAATTTAATTAACGGTTTCATTATTTTCGTTTTTTTTTTTTTTTTTTTTTTTTTTTTTTTGTAATTTGGTTAAAAATAATTGTAGAAACCTGAAATATTTAGGGAATACTTATATTAGCATTTTATAGACGTGATAAAACTAAAAATTTATCTAAATAATAGAAATAAGAAATACGATCCACTATTGGAATCAGGCAGTAGGGTAAATCACATGGAACGATTATTAAGTCAATTTGCTCCCCCCCAAATATCATAAAGATAACATTTTCCGAATAAAATGAACAAAGTTTTAATAATATTAATATTTTCATTAATGTCAATTAGCAAGCTCCTCACGAAAATATTTAGTATAATAGAGCTGATACTGTAGTTGATGAATACATTACTGTTTTAGGCGGGAAGTTGGAAAGGTAGGATACATAAAGTAATTTAATTTATATTTGTAAGTAACGATAAACCATTGCTAACGAAATACGATTTTGAAAAAGGCCCAGTTATACATGTTTTAAAATTCCATAATATTTACGATTTCCATCAAAATTTGATATTGAAACGATTATATAAAAAAAACTACAACACAATACTCAATTTTTGTTTTAACACTAAATAAAACTTATAATAACCATCATCTAAATTTGTAAGTATTTCTATTTGTTCAATCGATTTTATCGACATTGCACCTACCAAAGAAAAACTAAACAAAAAACCCGAAAATGTAAAATGGTCTATAAATACCTCAAAAATTAAAAATTTGAAAATTGTATCCCGTTTAGAAATGGCGAATAAAAGTATTTTGTAAAAATATTAGCTCTCTAAGACAATTTATTAACAATTTATAACAAAACACCATAATTAAAAATAACGAAATCATTAATACCGTTAACATTCTCATATTTTCTACGTTTCTCCCTGTTTTTCCCAATTATAAAAACGGGTTGAAAATTCAAAACACGATTTTCTTACTCACCAACTAGACAACTCTAAAATGCATCAAAGAATGTCCCTTTTTATTTTTTTATTGGAGCAAGATTGCTGGTAGAAAAGTGGTTTACAGAAAGAAAAAACACAAAAAACACATTGTGAAACTATAATAATAAATCCCTCGCTACGCTCAGAAACAAAAATTTTAATTAAATAAAGTAACATAACTAATATTATAGTTTTTAAAAAACTGTTGAAATATATTTTAATTCTGTGACATGATCGCTAAACAAATTTTGTAACGCACACATAATAATTCTTGGTTTTATTAATTACAAACTTGGTAAGTAATCCTAAAACTGCTGAATACTGATATGATTTTTATCCACAGATGGTTAATGAAATTGTGCTTGTATGTTATGAATATAATAACATAAATAAGAGAGGGGGGGTTTATCCCTTAACCTACATGCATCTCATGGGAGGAGGGAATATGATGGGTCTCAAGAAAAGACCTATTTAGTTACACTGTATTTCCCCCCTTCATGTGGTCCGTGTAGGACTTTCACTGCCCTAACCACTTCTCTCCATTTATCTCTGTCTTCAAAGTCTTCAATTATTGTTCCTTGTAATATTCCAGAAATATCTATCTTCGCCCTTTCCCACCTTTGTCTTAGTCGACCCCTAGGCTTTTTTTCGTTCAGTTTCCAAATACAAATTTAGCATCTTCGTAATTTTAGTTTGTTATTTTACCTATTTCAATCATTACTAATATTATTATTTTACGTGCAATTTATAAATACCAGTGATGTAACTAGGTTTTTTTTCGAGGCGAGAAGCCGGGGGCATCCAACTCATAATTTAAGACTTAGGATATTTCTACTCTAAAACCTGTTTCATAAAACCTTAGTGAATTTTATACTGCCCATTTTATTTTGTAACGAATAATTTTTATCTCTGAAAATGTGTAATAGTAATTTGTACAAATAATAATTATACCAAGATAATAAATATTATGCAAATAAAGATTAGCCAAGTGCTCTGAATAAATAATATATTTAAAAACAAATTAAGTGATAATAAACTATATTAATAAATAATTCTAACAATAAATAATTATTTTTAATTTTATACAATGAAAAATTAACACGTTTAATTTTACTTGCTCTTCTATTTTTGAGCACAACTCAAACTCCGCATGCCTTACGACCACATAAATAATGCTCCATTACTCTCCCACTATATAAACTTAAAAGTAAAATATCTCATCAGCGAAAATCAAAAATTTCAACGCCATAATGTATTTAAACTAATTTTATTTCTATGTATCTATTAATTTTTAATATAAGTTGTCATTTTAATATAAAAAGTAAGTAGTCGTTTTACCCTCCAAATAAGGGTAGCAAAAAATACTGGTAATGTAATATTTCAAAGCTGATTGTTTCTTAAATTTTCAAAAAAAATTAATTCTGAAAAAGTTAATACTTTCCGGGATATCACAACGAGTATATTATTAGTTAGGCACTCCATATACTTACATAACTTTACGTAAATATACTATGTAGTAGGTACTGTTCTATAATATTATAAATAGTAAGACTTAATCTCAATACTTGTCGTGTTTAATATTTATTAGTTTTAAATGTTTAATTATTCACTGTTTATTGAATTTCAGATTGCATTTGAATCGTACTCACAAAACAATAATATACCTGATAATATTCATTTCATTTGTTTGTGGCTTTTCATCGTTGGCGATAACGATTATTGAGCCTATTCGAACGATTGTATCATGCATTAATGACACGTTTAGCATTATTTATCATAGATATTTGTAAAAAGAATATTTATATAAATAATAGTAGTTGTTCAAAATGTATTCTTATTCCAACCCCCCCCCCTTTGAAAAAATCATTTGACCATCACTGCTCAGAAATGTATTTCATTTGTAATGATTTAGTGTATGCAATTAATTATAATACGTAGATAGTAGATAAAACTGGTAAAAATATAAAAACAATTTTAAAATAATATTATGTTTAGTCTAAAACATACATTTTTAGTAAGTATCACTAATTAAATAAGAAGGTTAAACCTATTATACATTTTAATTGTATTTTTTTTTTTTTTTATTATTGAAATAAGTTATTACTATAATATATCATACTGTAATCATCATATTTATACACAAACTTGGATTAAAGGGAAACCTGATAAGGTCATAGCCCGAGAGCCCACGAATAAAAAGGGCCCATTTTGTCATCAATTAAAAATTAAGAGGACCTATATTCAATCTTAGATCCAAGGCCCACTGGACTCTTAATCGGGCATTGGCTTTATATAATATACTTATATATTAATATTAGGAGAGAGATTGGCAAAATTATGAGTTACTTAAATGATAATAATTTAATATATGGCGTTAATAATTTTATTTTGTTATAATCATTTATTGTTTCAATCATATTTTACTACTTCCATAATTATTTATAAGTATATTGTTTATATTAATTGTTTCGTACTCTATGTCTAAGGCTGAATGACCTTTATATATTATATAAAATAAAATATTAGATTTACTCATCATTTGAATTATTTATTGTATAATCAACTCAACATCAAATTCCAAATTCCAAAAAATTGAATTATTATAAATAATTATACTTATTTGTTTATTAATATTAATACCTAAATTTAAAAACTGTTTTATTACACATTTGAACTTAAAACGATTTTAAAAATAAACATTAAAGCAATATACTCTACTTTTCCCGTTTATAATTATTCATATGAAATTTTTGAATATTCCTACGAGATCAATAATATTCAAATAAATCGAAAAATAGTAAAATGCAAAATTTTGGTGATTTGTATGTAAATTATTCGTCTCGGCGGTGCACCAAAACGAGCACACGAAATAAAATCCGTCGCTCGTTATGTTACACTCAATATGCATGTATCAACAAACAACTGGCAAATGCATTAACTATATTAACTATATTCACAATTACTTCATCAAAACATCACAGGAAAAATGACTTTTATTCCTCGCTCGGTTCTAAAATCAATCTTACTTGTTTGTCCAAACCTAGATAGAAAATTTAAGTAGGAAGTGAGAATCCTAAGTATGTATCTAAAAAGATGAAAAACCACGTCGGGTTAAAAACATCAAAGTTGAAACGTATAATACAATTAATCATAAAACACGTGTTATAAGTACACATTTTAAATATATATAAAACGTTTAGTACAAAACTACCTATTTGTGTTCATTTTATTACTGTTAAAAAGTATTTATTTAATTAATGTTTTAGTTTTGATGCATAAGTAACTGAGAACGTAGTGCTTTTATTTAGACATTTGTTTACTATTTTTTATTTAGTATTTTCTAGTTATATTGAAATATATGTAAACAGTAAAAACGTTGACATTAATACAGAATTGAAAATGGTAATACAATATTAGTTACATGGTACATAAATAAAAAAATTATACACGAAGTTGATTGATTTTAATTATTAATTAATAACTAGTTAATAGATATAATCAATACTTTACGGTACTCAATGAATATTAAATAATTATACATTTCATAAAATGTTTTAGTCATTCTATAGCTGTATACAGTGGTATTCCCATAGAGTGTACTAAGTATATGCCGTATGCTCTTAATATTTTGTTAAAAAATCACGGGTATAGGTACTGCG